CGACACTGGCTTGTCGAGCAGGATTCTGGCCAGCCCCTGCAGACATAAACACACGGGGACAACTAGACTAAATTGTTTTAGCTCACTCTCCTACCTCACTTCTTAGTGACAGACAGGGGCCCATGTTATTTGCCTGTAACATTACTCATAACCACTTTGGGTTTTAAATTAATAACCTGACTCTTGTTTCTAGGCACTGCTTTGTAAAAATGAATGTTTGACTCTTCGTTTCAATGCCCATGTCTTATTTTTTCAAGTTACTTTTATTCTCAATTTTCTTAGGCTGACCTTCATTGTCTTTGGGCTATATTTCAACACTGCTGTGGACAGGTGAAGGTAGTGTATTGTTTTGTTTTTTGCTTTTAACCTTCAGTGTAATGTGAAGTTTATTTCCAAGGCTGTCTGCATCCATAGGAACGTGCCCAAGTTTTATGATCAAAATCAGCCAAACAGTTTCTGTTTCTGAGGACTGGATCAGCTGGATCTCCTCACTCTTAGCACAGCACCTTAATCACTACACCATACTGACTTCTCATAGAGAAGCACATATGCAGGTCAAGAAACTGGAGACGGCTGAAGAGGAAAAGACTAATGGGATTCAAAGCAGTAAAAGTAGGGGCAAGAATACAGGCAGATAGAACAGACTGACACATTGCTGATTTAACACACCCAGAATTGTGGGAGACAAAAGCACCATGATTTCTTCATCACATTCCCATCCTTGTTTGCCACCACCCACTCTTCCCTCTGATTTATGTATGCATACTTGAAAAACCTTCTGTTGGAAGAAGTAATGGGAACTGCAGAAGAAGAATAAATGCAAGAATATGAAGGAAATGTCAAAGTTGTTTCATCTGCTATTTCCAGGAATATTAGACCTTGCTACACAAATTGCTAGTTTGGGAGATTGAAACCTAGAGCATATGGGAAGAAAGTACAATTTACAATAAGTAAAACTCATTTTGTGTGTGTGTGTGTGTGTGTGTGTGATTTCTGCATTACAAAAACGAAGAGAAGAGGCCACATCAAAATCCTGGATAAATGCTTCATCAAGTTCATACCTGCAGGCAATACTTGTCCAAGTATAACTTCAGATAATTCTTTAGGATCAATTTTTGTCCTCTCCAACAATTCTTTAATGACTACTGAAGCCAATTCATGGGCGTGTAGGGTTGACAAGGCACCATTGAAGGATCCTAGATAAAAGATAAAAATCAGAAACAGATGTGTTTTAATTTTACTCTATTCCATCTTTCATTCTGTTCTTCTTTTCAGCATTCTAGCTTACAGATTACAATTCTAGGAAAATAAACAAATATTGTATTTTTATGGGTATACTCTAAGTTATATCTATATTGTTTATTAAAAGTCTTGACATTTTATTTTATTACCTGGTCTAATGTACTGAAGACCTGATTCTTCAAATACGGTAGCATTTTCTTGGTCTGTCAGATGTATGTATAGTTATGTGTAATGTATACCTTTTTCATATATACATAAGTCAGTTCTATGCTGCTATTATCCCAAAAAGTAAACAGAACCACTAGATTCATTTATGAATCAGATATCAGTCTACAGAACAAGGCTTTAATAGGGAGAACACTATTCCAGTTGTCATACCTAGTAAACTTCAAACAGTGCATTTTGTGTATCTATTTCTTACATCCTTATGCTAAATAGAACTCAACTATTTGAACGAATAAAATTTATTTACAGCTTTAAATTAATTAGAAAAACATGGGCAGTTTAATTTTTAATTATACGCACAAGAGTCTCTGTTGCTTTGTTAAATATACTCAAGAGTTATTCATATCTCTAACCATGATGTCTTACATACTTGTTTAAGAACCTGATTTAAGAAGTTTTTTAATTCTTATCATACATAACTCTAGGAAAGGTCTTATGAAATATAAAAGCCCAACAGAATTGGCCAACTGCACTCCTGCCATCAGAAGGGGCAGGCAGCAGACCCGGTCAGCCAAGGAATTCTGTCTGGCGGGGTCCAGGAAAAGAGCCTTTTCTGCTGTGACTTCCACCCTTTGAAATATCTCGATAGCAGACAAATCCTTAGGGAGCCATGAAACAAAGGTGCGAAGCCAGCTCGAGCTTTGTGGAGGACAGATTGAAGGAATGTCAGTGTAGCGTCGAGGGGTAAGAAAATAGGTTAGAAGAACGATTTAGCCTGCTGTTTTGCATACAGTAGCTAAATTTCAATCTTGTTAAACTCAGTCGGATTTCCAGACATACCGTTAGACAGCGGTGTCCGTTTCCAATCTGTTATCCGAATAGTTCTTAACAGTTAAGTAAGCAGGTAACAAAGCCCTACATACATCCTCGCCCTCGCAGTTCTAGAGTTCTCTAGCCCTCTTGTAAGACATCCCTAGTACAGTTCCTACCACAATCTTACCTCGATTCATTTTCTTATCTTTCTGCCATGAGCAGGAAAAAAGTACAGGATTTCCTCCCCTAACAGGTAGCATAGAAGGAAAAAAATGGGCGAAGGCAAATTTCCCGCAGGCATCAGAATGAATGGACCACGCAAGGTTGGGAGCAAGCGTAACGCCAGTCCGTGAAAACGCCCGTTTTAGAGCAATACGAGATCGAGGCATGAAATAGCTCCGGTAGTAGTTTCTACTCACCGATCGGGGTCCTTGCAGCAGCAACGAAAACAACGGCCTCGTCCTCGCAATCCATGATGCCTCAAGGTAGTAGAAGCCCCGCCGCTCCTTTCTCTGAGCAAACTGCCCAGCGCCTCCGTTATACTCAGGTAGCGATGCACACCTAAAAT